GCCAGAAAGGCAGAACGCACTTCTTCCAGCCGGGACTCGCGGTCGCTCGCCGACACCAGCCTAGGAGAGAGAGGGGAGGTCAGCAACTGCAGTCACCCCTCTGCCCATCCCCGCTCTTGTTCCTGATGTGGGGCAGGAGGCTGGCAGCACAGCTGGGGTGCTCAGCTGGCTCCAGTAGCTGAGGCAGCGCCAGCCCCAAAAAGCTCCAACTACAGCTGCTGGTACTGCTGCCTCCTTGCCCAGCCCAACCCAACCCAACGCTCTCCCATGGAGCCTCTTGCAGCCCCAGGCTCCTGGTCTCCCCTTGGTCTCCTTCACCACCCGCCCCCCCAGTGTCTCCCACCACCATGGTGCTTATGAGGCCACGGTTCATACAGAAAGTGCTGCTTTCGCCAAGCGGGCTCTGGCTGACGTCAGCCCCTGTGCCAGCTCCCTCCCCTCCTTGCACAGCGTTCCCAGATGGAGCCTGGCCACATGTGCCATACCTGGACAGTCGCTTCCAACCTATTTGCGACCGTCCCTCACTTTCACCGGCCCCAGCCTCTCACGCTTACGCCAGCACAGACGGCTTTGGGAAAGGGGGGATGAGAGGGGGCAGACAAGGTGACAAAAGCCCCAAGGAGTGCTCCAGCCATGGAAAGAGGGGAGCTGAGCAGCGTTTTACTTCCGCTGCCCGGAACGGCTGCAAGCAGGAGGGCTGTGTGCAGAGTAGGGCATGGCTTCCCCCGGGACCTGCTCTCCTCTCTGGCTGATCCACACACCTGGTTAGGGGCTGGCGGGGGGGCAAAGAGAGAGGAGGGAAGGCTATATTTCAGCTGAGGGAGCAGGGAAAGCAAGACTAGGGTTCAGAGGCAGCTGTTCCAAGTGCTCCGGCCTGAAACGGTCCTTGCTGCACGCTTCTGCGATGTGCTGGTGGTTCCCAGAGAGAATAAGACATTCCTCAAAGGTCACTCCAAGGGCACAGCGCGAACCTTCCCCATAAAAAATTCTCTTTAATCTCTCCAGCGCCTGGGCTGGCTATAAATTGGCACAGCTCATTTGAATGGAAGTGTTAACCACCCACAGCCAACAGCTTCGGTCCGGAAACAGCAGCAAGAGGATATGGTGGGAGGCCTATAAACAGCAAGCGATGCCGAGGCAGCCAACCAGGCCGCTGTTTACAGTGTCTGATAATAAAGAGAAGCCAGAGGGCAAAGGAAAAAGGCAACATATCTAAACACATTAAAAAGATGCTTTTTTGGCAACCTAATTAGGACGTGGAACTCGCAAACCTGCTAGCATTAAAAATAAGCTACATGAAAGCAAGATTTACTTGCACCCGAGTACAGCGATCTTAAATGTCACATGCAGAGGTAAGCGAGGGCGTGCAGCAGTTAGGTCCCGCACCTTCTGGCTCTCGCACCTCTTTACAGGGCAGATTTTGTATTTAGATATTCAGATTTTTACGTTTCTTTCATGGTGTGAGACACTCCAAGGCACAGGGTCAAGCAGGTAGCCACTGCCCAACACTGAGCCCTGCAGATTGGCTGCACAATTTCACTCTGAGCAGTTCAACCAGGGAGGCAGGTCGCGCTTCCTTGCCAAAATCCATGGTGCTCTGCCCCACTACACTTCCTACAGCCTGCCCGCTTGTCTGCAGCTTGGGGTGCAGGATGAGAGGAGGCTGTCAAAGCCCCAGCTCGAAGTAAGCCCTGACAAGCCCCACACAAGCACAAGAAGTAGGCTGTGAAAAGCGTACCTTCATCGAGCTGCTGCCAGCTGAGATGTAAAGTGGGAACTTAAATGGAATTTAATTTTTCCAAAAACTCGTACTGTGCTGGGCTGTGAAAAACTGGGATAAAACCACAATGGGCTCCTGAGCAAACAGAGCTGATGCAGAACACAGAGCGGAAGCCCTGGGTCAACCTCAGCACAACATCCTTGGGAACTCTTCATCCCTTCCAAACAGTGCCTGGTCCCCACACCCGCAGTCGAGCGGTCCCCAGCCCCCGAGCACCCCACAGCTCCAGTGAAGAGCTGAGCAGGGCAAAGCACTCGCAGCATCTGCTGCACACCTGAGGGAGAAGCACCACCGCTGTTCCCCTTCCTTTGAACCCCACTGAAGTCCCAAGCAGCCAGACTCCGAACCACGTGAGCCTACAGTCTCAGCACAGGCAGATTCTGAGCTCAACTTCAAATCACGTTTCTCTCTACTGAATTCCCTATTCTGACGTCAGATCCAACTCCAAGAAGGGCAGCAACAAATTGCTGGTGATCAGCAGCTGCCAAGCACAGCCATGTTCAGGGCACAGTAAAGCAGTTGCAACTTCAGCCACCCATCCTTCAGTCCCTTCCACTCCTTCAATGATCTCTGAACAACTACAGAAGCAGCACAGCGTGTCCTCGTAAAAGGAGGAGGGCAAATCTCAGCCAGGCCATGTCCGACATCCCTCGCAATTCTTCGATCTGCCAATGCATGGGTCTTGTAGCTTAATCATAACTAGGGAGCAGCTGCTCTGCTCAGCCGCACAGCGCACAGCCACAGGAGAAGGCGAGCCAGGGCAGCTAGCCTGTCTCACAGGAGACGTTGGTTTTCACGACACTTGCCCTCTGCCTCCAAAGCACGTACTCAGACCTTGGTAAGGGACCGCAAGCGTTTGGCAGCACAACTCTAGCACAGCGAGCTAGCGGCAGCCCTGATCTGCCATTTCAGTTTCTAGATTGAGAGTTTGAAGCCTGAAGGCACAAGCCAAGGTTCTCCTCTAACAGCAATTAAAGCGCATCTTCTGTCTTTCAAGCTTCCACAGAGGTGGCTTTCTATTTGGGGAGGAACATTTGCCTCCCAGCCATGTTGCATGGCAGGATGCGACAGGACGCAGGATCTCTGCTGCTCTGCGCTGGCCAGGTGCAGCACCTGCAAATGATGCTGCGCGTGGTCAGACAAGAATGGGGGTGACAGAAGGAAAGCTCCTCTCTTATTGCAGCAAGGATCTGACCCAAGCAGGGAGAGAGAGATGAGCAAGATCTAAAAGCAAGAAAATCTGGGTTACCAGTCCTGTCCTGACAAGCATGCATCCTCAAATGCACTCAATTATGCCCAAATTCAGTGTCTTCAGGGAAGAGAGAAAAGCCTCTTCTTCCTACAGAAAGCAAAGTGCCCCTGTCGTTAGGCAGAGAAGATGCTGGTTTCTTTCTGAGCTCAGCATACACAAAGAGCACTCAGTGACTGACTATCTGGATGGAAAGCATCAAAGAAGGGAAGAGGGGACAGCTTGTTATGGGCTCCCAGGCTTTTTCAGAAGCGCCAGGGTGATAAAGTTCCAGCGCTCACAGCCAGCCGAGAGACCCGAGGAGAGATCCTGCGTGTGAGACACTTACAGGCAAGTGCTAGGGAACTCATCCGGGAAGCTGCAAGGGAGAGAGGCGTCTGCGCTCAGGATTGCCTGCTCCCGAATACTGCCACACCCTGTCACCATCTGCCAGCTGCCAAAGTCTGTGGAAACGGAAGATCCGGGCAGAGAATGGTCCGCCGATCTGGGGCAGAGAGAGAGGGAGACGGCGCGATCAGTCAGGTCATTCAGCCACATGCCTTCCACTAACGCCGGTGCCAGGGACCCGCCGGGCTGACGGCCAGCGGCGCCTGTGCCAGCAGCTTTGACACTCGGGGACCAGGGTGCGACATGCAGCTCCGTCTGGGCCCCGGCCAAGCCTTTCCTTTGAAAGCGAGGGGAGAGCCAAGCCGCCTGGGGCTGACAAAGCAGCGGGAGCGCACCGGGAGCCGGACGGGACAGAGCCAGGAAGAAGCAGATGGCCATGCAGAACTGCGAAACCCATTAGCGAGATGCAACAGCGCGTCTTGCCCCAAATCCCTCACAGATGTGGATGCCGTGCTGTAGAAGGGGCATCCCCCTGTTGCTTGTTGTAGCTGTTAGCACAGCCCAGGGCAGCAGCAAGGCCTGACAGAGAATCAAGGTTGTAACTTGGTTAGTGCTGAGGAAGACAGAGAGCCCTGGTCCGGCAGCCGTGAGAAAGCAGATCACTCCTGAGGCAGTAACACCAGATCTGAACAGAGACAGTCACCGCTCAAGACATCCCCAGGGCACCCACCCTCCCCTCCCAGCATCTGAAGATCTTTTCATCCCTATGTTTGAAGGATGGATTGCACCAGAAGCCAGGCGGCAAAACATCTTTAGGACAGGAAAAATAGCCAAGGGAGGATAACTGTTTGATGCATGCTGCCTCCCACCAGGAAGGGAAGAAGCATGAAATCTGACAAGTGAATCTGAGGAGTCCCTCCGAAATCTCAAAGAGGGCACAATCACTTGAGACAAACCCAGAGCTCTTGGCTTCCAGGGAACAAGCAATTACTGTGCCCTGCTGCACAGCAGACTGTACATAGCTGGAAGCACAGCCTGTGGCAGAGCTACTCAATTACACACTACCAAGATCTTCTGGATAATTTATCTGAGATCTGCTGGGCAGATAGCAGTGCACCAGCTCCAGCTCTGCCGGGCCAGGTACTTGCACACTGTCTTCACAGCTAAGAATAGCAGTGGCGCACTGCAGCTGCTCCCCAAGAGACCAGGAGAACAGCTAGAAAGACAGGATCTCCCACAGCAAGAAGGACCTCAGAGAGACTGGAAGAGAGATGCACAGCAGGAAACCTATGCGCAATCTCGATCTAACTCCAAGCCTGCCATTTAACTAGCCCGATCAATACGGCCAAGTTGGAGAAGTCTGAAATGCAGTCCTGAGCTGGCTGCACAAGCAGGGAAGGGGAAGGCGCACAGCTCCTTGCATGTCAGCTTCCCATCACAGTGCTGATGCTCCCGCAGCTGCAGTTCGGGGGTAACACCACTGTCTGGAAGTTCAGGCTCTGGAAGGACATCCCAGCAGTTAACGGGAAAAGCAGAACTTCACCTGCTGTGTATAGCTCTTGTTTTCTGGCTGCTTAATGAACCGAGGTTAACGGAGGTGCTGCAAGCATGAAGCACTGGGAAAACCCCTTCTCGCAAAAAAGTGTTTTTCCTACAGCATGCAATTCTGCGGTCAGAATGAGGGCATGCCACTGAAAGCAGAACTGCAGCATGTACTCTTAGAAAGACCTTTTGGAGATCAGACAGGGATAACCTTCCCTAGGATGCAAGGAATTCATAAAGGGAGCAGCTCTTCAGTGACATCTACCCCTCTCCCTGCCTTTGGAACATAACACCGAGGAAGTCAGTGTGAAGGAGAGCAGGCAGAGCGTTTGGGCCCAGAGCATGGTGCCATGCTGGAAGCACAGTGGGGACAGTGCAGGAAGCCAGGGAGAAGCACATGAGAAGCACAGAGGAACACTGCTTCAGTACAGGGGGAAGAGGAGGGTGTCACCTCCCTGGGAGTACAGCACAGCCAGACAGGAAAAATGGGAGTGTCACACGCAGTGACAAGAATTTGAGCTAAAGCAGGGAAGAGGTCTACAGAGGGCTTTGGCAGAGGGAAAGTAGACAGCGACATCATTGCTTCCAGGAAAAAGTAATGAGTTGTGGAACAGAGGATAGGTTTGGGGCCAGGCAGAAACAAAGGTTCTGACGAAGGCAAGTCTGGATGGGAGAGGAGGGCTTGGGCTATGGCAGGATCTCCAGGGGAAGAGAACTGAACAGAGCTCTGCAGTTCTCGCAAAAGGAGAGCGTAGTACCAGGAGCCTGCCTGGAAGACTCTGCCCACACGGCCAGTGAAGGAACAAGACAGGATCCAGGGCATCAGGGACAGTAAAAATGTCCCTCTGTCCAGCATCATCAACCACTCTGGTCAGATGAGTCTGTGCTGAAGAAGGTGAGCAGAAAATTGTTTCCTGTGTTGGGTGTGTGGCCTCAGCTTCCAGCTGCCAGTTACCTTCCATGGTTGTCAGCTAAGATTAGACTGATCTTACACCACCTCGTGGAGGTGGATCAAGTAGCCTCTTGAATTCTTTATTGTATAGGCTGATCACGTACCTCCTGCAAGACTGACTCTCGGTGGCTCTCTAGCCCATTCTGAGGTCCCTGACCCTGTCAAGCAGCCATGCAAGCTTGGCAATGCTGAAACATCACACAAACAGGTCAATTCCTTCTCAGCACCGGCCACGCTGCAGAGAAGGGCAGGTGTGTAGGACACATGGCTCTGTGACTGGCCCTGCGCTCCCAGGCTCCCTGTTTCTTGTCTTTAATCCACCTGCAACAATGTGGAACCTGATCCCAAAGCACAGACCCCAGAGATTGCATGACTGGGTCCGTCAGTGCTGAACTGCCACTGCCCCACCACTCCTTGCTTTCAGGCTGCTCCAGGCGGCTGGGAATTAGTCAAGTTATATCTAACCTAATAGCACAGGAGTCTAGGAGTCCCAGGCAACCAATTCTGTCTCTCACCTCCAGGCAGCAGAATAAACACTTGTCAATTAATTGAATAAATTGATTGACTCTGCAACAAGTCCAGGTCATCTCTCTCTCCTGGCTTAGATATCTGAGCCCAGCCTGCAGAACTGAGACACTGTGACAGACCTTCCCCTCTATCCCCAACGCCTTCTCAAAGGAGGAAGTGTCACAACCAACAGGCATCTTGAACAGCCTTGAGAGACAGCAGGGGCCAAGGCTGGGCAAGACAGGCAGGGAAGGGCATGGCATGGGAAGTCTTGTGTTGGCACTGCAAGGGCAGCAGAGCTTCTTAAAAGCTGAGCTTGGCTTGAGACCAAGACCAGATCTCTAGGGTGACTGTATCCCAGTGCAATCCAGTCAATGCCAGAGGTGAAAGTCTTCCTGTTATTTCTACTCCTGAAGGCTCTTGGTAAAGTCTTGCTGCAGAGGCTCAAAAAAGGGCTTCAGTGAGGCCCCCAGAGCAAGCTGGGGCTGCCGGGACACCAGGACCAGTCCCCAAGCCTGTAAGAACACCACATTGCAGCCACGCCAGAGGCTGGCTAGCTACAAGGGCAGCGCGGAGGGTCTTGGGAAGCAGCCGGATGACTACAGCAAAGCTGACATGGTTAGGGGAGATGAGATACAGCAAGTCTTCAAGTCGCTGTCTCTGCCACAGACATCTAATGGCAGACAGAAAGAGAATGAAAGTGAGCTTCACACACCCACCTCTTCAGGTCCACGAGTGGGAAGAAACTCCCTCAAAAGTGCAAGATTAACAAAATTAGATTAGCAAAACAGAGATGAGCTGCAAGCTGTTCCTTCACACAAGGAAGGACCTCTAGCAGGCCATAAACTGGCAACTCCTAGCCTGGAACAGTTCCTTTTAATTAGGTCAGTGCTTCCCATGCAACATGCTGCACAAGACAAGAGTATTTCAGAGCACATGGACACTCACCTACTAGAGAAGAGCCAATACCGGAGGCAGAGCAACAGTCAGGGATCCTTCCCTTTCTTAACACGTAACTGAGACGAGTGCCGAGTGCCAAATGCCAACAGCGAGGTTCTCATCCTGCCCTGCGCGGCCCCCGCTCACCTGCCATATTTCTACACACCTAGGACTTTGGGAAGCAGCTCATTTGCCAGCATATGCTCTGTGCCTCAAATTGAAGCATTAAGTAGGTACTGTACGCACAGGCAGACTGTGGCAACCTGGAGCAAAGGGCAGTCCTTCCCACCTTTGCGTGGGAAGTGTTGGCAAGGAGTACTTGGCAGAGAGCTGTACTGAGCCCTGGCTGAATCCCAGGCAGTTATCTACAGGCTGTGTCAGTGCCATAACAGCCTGAGCAGCCAGTCCTCTGCGAGCACAACCGCTTTTGATTACAGCACAGTCATGTGTCAGACGTCAAGCCCATTTTGTGGCATAGTCGAGCAATAATTCCAGAAAACGTTCCTGTAAACAATTCCTGTCCTGCTGTGGTTGCTGTCCCAAGTTCTCACATCGCAGATACAGCTTCCAAGCCAGGTGGCTGAAAGGAGCAAGACACACGGTGCGCATGCAGTCTTATTGCTATCAACAAAACACTCAGAGCCAAGGGACAGCAGCTTCTCTGCTCTCTCTGCAGTCCCTCCAGACCCATGGCTGAACCGTCTGCAGCCCTTTAAGTAAGGGAGTTCTCTGTGATGTTGAGCAAAGCAGATCCTCCACGATTTAACTCCTGCAGCTCTCAACTCTTCAGACCACAGTACTTTGGGTTTTGTTTAATTGACTTAACAAAAGCACATTCAATCAAAGATTATCCAGCTGCTAATCCACATTAGTGCTATGTGCACACACACTAAATCCCTGACACAGATACAGGGGTTTTCTGCAGTGTCATGGGATGCTTAGACTATTAGTGTCAAATGCAACCACAGGCCATGATTTGCAAGCCGCTACCCACTCGCACACAGGGAGTTTGATTCAATGCACACTACCTGCCATACTCAGAGCTCTCAGTTTGTAGAACAAGCAGCACCTTGTCCTACTCTGCAAATAATCTATGCAGTATCTTCATGCATGCTTGCCCTCAGCAAATGTGATCTTACCATAAGCTAGAAAGCCTGCTAGGAATTTGCCTTTGTACCGCTTTGCCTAACAAGAACCATCCCGGGATTTACGGATACCCAGGACCTCTGGATCAGAGCAGGACTTGGAAGACGGGCTGGCGAGGCAATGGCAACAGCAGACTGCTGACATGGCCCTGCCAGGAGAGGGGCTTGGCTCCCACCAGCTGACTCCTTCCTTTAGGACACTCCAGGTCCCCTCCCAGGCCCTGCTCATCTCTCTCTGCTGGCTTGCCTTCGCATTCCCTCCGGAGCTCCCCTGCCTGCCAGCATCCAGACTGGGCTGTTTACCTCAACTACCTGAAGGGTGCCTGCTGGCATTTTACAAGCAACCATTTTTCCTCAACTGCTGCTGCAGTGGTTAAGTGTTTTGTTGCTATGGCCACACAATCAGAGGATCAGGAAGTCAAGTACAGTAGTTTCTTCATCTTAAGAGCCTTGGGTGTTAACCTGCCAGCAGCACTGTGGAGATAAAGGTATTTAGGGCATCCTGATCAGTCCCTGTGCTCCAGCCTTTCCATCCTACTCCCACCATTTTTCAGGGGGTGAAGGGACAGAATTTACCTCTTCCTTCCATCACAGATACATTCCTTCTCCACCCAAAGTGGGACTCATCCTTTCCTTCAGGATGGGAAATCGTGGTTGAAGGTACTGTGCTAGCCATTACCTGCACAGAGCTCAATAGACAAATTCAGATTAACACAGTCAAAGCAGGGAGACCAGAGCCAAGTGGAGCTACATAAACCCTCTCTCTAGACAAAACATATCACATTCAGGCCCCAAAAAGTACAAGCCATGGCAGTGTCTCACAAGGTAATGCATTGCTCAAGCCCTTAGCTAGCAGGGCTGCTAGCAGCGTTACCCAGGGAAGGCAGGCAGGGCACGGTCTGGCTGATCTGGCAATGGACTAGGAGAAAAGGAGCACAAATGTGCCAGAAGACTTGGTTTGAAAGAGAAGCTCAGTTCAGACATTGCCTTGACAATTCCACCCACTCCCTGCAGGGTCTCTAGGCTCATTTCCTCCAGCCTGCACACCAAGAGGAGCAGGACAAACCCAGGTGACATCAGCGCATACAGGTGTACAGTCTCCAGCCAGCACAAGTGTAGCAGGCTAACCATCTTTGCGTGCAGCTGATTTCACCGCTTTGGCTTCACAACTGATCCTCTTCTCCTGTGCCCTTGGTTCCAGGCAGTCCAAGGGGTTTGTTCCCTTTTTATCCCCTATTCCCGTCACGTATTTTTTTTCTAGCCCAGCCCTTCACACTGCCTTGTTCACAGAAGTTAACAGGGATTGGGAGTGGACTGGCGCAACCTTGCTGTGTTGAAGGGTTACAAAGGCTTTGTGCCATGGTAGAAAGGTCAGAAAAATATTTGTAGTGGAATTCACAGAACGTTTACCTCTCACAGTGACAGAATACTGCAACTCCTACTCAGGAATATTTATTGCGCATAAGCAAAGGCCATCCCCAGGGACTCTGGCCTGGAAGTAACAAGCTTCCCCACCACACTTGCCTGCTGTCTCAAGCCCTCAGAGTGCTGGTTCTGCACTAATCATCCAAAAGCTTACATACACCTCATCCAGACACAGCCAGAAGAAAGATAATTGCTGGCTTTACCAACTCTGAGCCCCTGGAACACAAGTCACAGGGACTGTGTGCTCAGCCCCTTCTCGTTGTGCCCTTCTGCCTACTCTGTTTCTCCTCTTCGCTCTCACAGAGCGGAGTCCGGCTGGAGCATTATAAACCAATTCTTCCACAGCATTGCTGCAAGCTTGCTACCAGCCCAGCGCTGAGCAGCCTGTTAGGTCTTGGGAATGGTGTGAGACCACACACAGGAATTGTGGCACCACTGTCGTGAACAAAAGCAGTCCTCAAGACGAGCTGTTTTCTCTCCAGTATTTTCTTCTCTTCTTGGGAGATTTGTTTCATCTTACAGAAAATGTAGAGGTGGACCCCGCAACAACTCAAAACCATCCTAGTGATCTCTTTCCTTGGGGAGAATGGTTAGCATCATTTATGAAAACTGTCAGACAGTGATTTTTCTCTGGAACCAAGAAACTTGGTAAGAAAGTCTTATGAATTTTCAATGCTTTACTTGTTTGTCATTTTATTTTCCATGTGATGAGAGAGTACTAAAATTTGGCTGGTGGCTGTTTCTGAAGGGAATCACTAGAAAAAGACTCATCGGAAAACCTGCAGAGACTACACAAGCGTTTGATGCTGTTAACAGCAACCTCTTATCTAAGAGCCTCTTTATCCCCTGTCGGCCTAAACACATGGTGTTTGCTCCACAGGCTCCGGTCTTTCTTCCCTAGCTTCGCTCACCACTCTGCTTTGCCCTACCACAGCATCAGACTCCAGAAGGGTGCCAGAATATCCTTTGTTATGGCATGAGATTAGGCTCAGGCCCAGGGTCCCCATTCCCCAGTGGCCCAGCAGGAACACGGAGCTTTCTGGGCAAAATCCTTTGTGCCAGCACAGTGCTTGCAGCTTGCTCCCAGCAGATTCCACCTCTGCTTGCCACCAGCACCCAGAATTTTTCCACCCTGCGGTGTCAGGAAGGTCAGAAGGCGGAAAGGGGGACAGGATAGATGCAGAGTGAGGTCTGCTTGGTTTGAAAGGCTTCCTCCCCCACATAGCACAGCCATTTCAAACCCCTGTGGAGGCATTTGACAGAGAAAGTGCTGCGAGCTCCAAGCATGCAGGATGCAGAGATGCCAGAGCTCGTGGAGTTGAGGCATGCGCTGAGGACAGGCAGAATAGAAGACACCCAGCTGTTACCGGCACACACTCACTCCTCACTCCTGTTTAATGGCCAGCATCTCACACAAGGTCAGGCTAGAGAGGAACGGGCCTCCTGAGGCCTGTTTGTAGATACAAACCCACGTGCTCCAAGGTTCTCAGAGCCACACAAGCACAGCCCTGCACTCCCATTTACCAGACACCTGCTTTGCTGAGAAATGCTCTACTCCATCCCATCTCACCTGGATCTGGGCACTTCCAGTGGGCTGCTTCCAATCCTCAGGAAGTTATCAGAATGGGTTGATGAGGAGGAGCTGGAGGACTTGACTTCGACCATCCCTGTGGAAGGCAGCCTGTCTTCAGACTGCTGTGCCCTGCTCCAGAGCACGGCTTGTGGTGACGATGCACAGCTCTTCCTCCTGTGGGATGGAGAACTTGGGTGAGAAAGCTGGTTTTCCCACATACTCCAATTAGGAAGCCTTTCCACAACATGCCGTATTTTACCCCAGCAGCTACAAGCTCTTGTTCCCACTGAACCTGCCCTCCTCCCTCCCAAGGAACCGTGAGTCACAGGTAACTGCTCGGTGACAGGGGTACACTGAGCTCAACCTATCTTAGCCCATTCTTCCATAGATCACCATCCACATGACCTGGAAATCAGAGATGGGAGAATACATCAGCCCACACACATACAGCGATTGCTTTGTTCAGTCTAGTTGTAAAAATGTCTCAAGCAAGGGGCCTCCCAGCAGGGAAAGACCATTTCAATCTGCTCTAAACTCTACAGAGTGTATCAGCCTAGGAGCTCAGCCCAGGTGGGTGTTCGTGCACGCTGATGAGGGTGACAGGGACACAATGCCTGTGCTATTTTCCCTTTTAGTGATTCCCTTCAGGCACCACCGACCACACTTCTGACCGTGTGCTCAGAGCTGGCAGTCACTCCAGATGTAGGTGCGTTTCAACCCTCTCCCTGTCTGCGCTGACAGCCCAGAATGACTCTGGCTTCTCTTCTAGCCAGCACGTTCAGACTTGGGCACGATTCACTGTCCTTTGCCACATCAGGCCTTAGCTCACAGTACCATCCCGCTACATGCCAAACAAGCACACATATTTGGGACTAACTGATGCCACTGCTGCTCCTCATTCAGAAGATTTTCTTTCTTACATCAGTTTTTTTTGTTCTGGAAGAGTCTCAAGAATTTTTCCCCATTCAGCTCCACAGTGAATTCAACAAAGACCTCCCTATGTACACAAGGAAAAGTCTAAAGCAAACAAACTCAAGGAGAAAAGATGCTGTTCTTCCTGGAATCTGGGAGGGCACCTCAGCTTTGACTTAGATCTCAAGCACTGTCAGCAAGTGCAGCTAAAGACAGGCTCTTTGTACAGTGGGAAGCACGATATCCTCTCTTCACTTCTTGAAGTGTGTCCACCCTCAAACATCACACCACAGCCTCTCTCAAACATTATTCATCTCATGTTATCATAGCTGCCAAAATCTCCAAGCACAGCCTGCAGAGACAGGCTCGTACAGCTGAAAAACAAATGCCTCTCCCTGCAGGAGACCTCGAGGCCACCTGTTTTCAGGACAAACACAATGAAACACATCCCCTCCTCACGCTATGCACAGTCCAGCTCACCCAGCTAGGAGCAAGCTCTGCCTGTTCTCCAGACTACACAGCCACAACAGCCTGCAGCAAGACACTCATGCTCAGTCCCCTCACTAAGCACTCATGGCAAGGCTCACAGCGCTCTCTTCCCCTCAGCATGGGCCTGAACCACCACCGTAGCAGCAGCTAACCAACACAGCCTGATGTCTCTGACAGGAATGAAAGCAAACCAGAATTAGAAAACACCTCACAAAATCAAGCCCCGACAGTCACAAGTGCAGCAGATCTCTTCCAGCATGCTCTGGCCACTTCACATCTCGTGAAAATCACGTGTAGGTTTTGTGCTGCAGGATCTAGTCTGTATGTCCTGAGCACTCAGAGCAACATAAATACTTCCAGTTTACTACTCTGCAGCCAGGCAAGTGGAAAGTTATTCTCTATTTGCTGTGGTCACTTTGCTGCGGATAGGTAGGCTCTGTGAGTTGAAGAGGACTCTGTGCTGCTCACCTGACAAACACAGTTTAGGACTCACCATCTCCATTTTGTGATTCTGCAGGAAGATTCTCTCTTCTCCTCTTCAGCATTTTATAAATTGACTCTCTATGTGCTTTAGAAAGGCTGCTGCCACTAGCATGGCTACAGGCTCAGTCCCAGAGGACTTCCAACTGCCTCCAGCACAACCCAGATTTAATTTAAAATAATTGCAATATAAAATAGCATCTCCACATGTGCTGAGGGAGAGGAGAGAAAAATTAAACTGAGAGGGGCAACCCTACAGCAAGGTTCTGAAATCCCCAAACAGCACCAGAAGCTCCACAAGCAAGCACAACACCCCTCCCAGAGCAGCAGAGTTGCCAGACACCTTCCCCAGTCCCTGCTTCCAGAGAGCCACCTGCATCCCCAGGCGAGTCCTATGTGACCCTCTATCAATAGGGAGCACTGCCAATTTCATATTCTCCCCCAGAAGTATCTCTAAGCAGCGCTGCAGGCAGCAACCTGCTTTCAGCTCACACACCTCGTGCTGTTAGAGGAGCTAAAGTTTAGATGGGATTCTTGGCCACACAGCCCAAAGACCACTAACTGCAGACACTCCCCTGTGTAATCTCTTTTATAAACTGATTAAGCTTCATTTTAGGGCAGCTAAAGGGTCTTCACTTTTCCCTGGGGAGGCTGCTACCAAATGTCATTTTTCTGGTAGTTCGGAACCATCTTTCAGAAGTAATGAAATCCTTTCTGGATGAAGTTTAACAGCGAAACTGGTGAAAATGAAACAAAGCTGCTTTACTCTCATCAGGGGACAAACTTCAGGAGCATCCCCACAGAAGCCTGTCAGTCTTTAACATGGGGTGGTCTCCAATTTTTGGTGCAGAAATTCTGTAGCACAAGTTGCAGCAAAACCTCTGACAGCCAACTTCCTCCCTCCACTACAAGGAGCCCATACCACAGAGAGCAGACCTGGAGGGCAAGGGATTTCAGAAATATCTTTTCTACTATGCTCAGAGCCTGCCCCTTTTGTTGTGCAGCCTACTGAGTGGTTATCTCCTCACCATGCTGCTTGAGCCTGTGCTCCTGCTGGCATCAACTCCACTGCTTCATAGGTGAAGCTCCCAGCTGCTCCAGGGGAACTTTCCATCCCCAGGGAGAAGTCGCTGCTCAGACTTGTGGTGCTGCCTCGGTCTCTCTGCTCTAGAGAAAAGAAAACAGAGCTACCTGAAGACCAGCTTGGTCTCGCTCGCTTTCTCTCCCTTTAAGCAGTACACTTCCCACGTGCCCTGGGGCTGCATTCTTTTGAGGCCCCAAGGGAGGCCCCAAGGGAAGCATACCCATTTGTAGTCACCTTGATGCTATGAACCCAAGCCCCCAAGCGACCAACCAGCACCCAGGGGTGCTGATGCTCAGAAGCAGCACTCACTGAGCATGCAGATCTCTTCCAGGGTGAAGCCAGGGGGCAAACTCTTCCTTCTGGGGAAGAAAAGACAAAGTTACCTCAGCCACAGTACAGGGCTGCAGAGAGGCTGGCTGTAGCCCGATCTCTGTGGCACACAGCAGATATCAGAGCAGTGGGGAATTAGCTGCGCAGGGGCAGAGGGGAGGGGCAAGGGCTGGTGTGCAGTATCCGACCTGCCTAACAGTTGCAGCCCACACACCCTGTGCTTTGAGAGGGTGGCAACAGGCTGCAGGCAGACATGTGCTTATTCAGAGCCTCCAGGGTGGGCTTTGTTTCTTTCTGCCCCTCCTGAAATAGGAAGGGGTTAATGTTTAGGGGTCTGTTAAAAACCAGCCACCCCGCTCCCCACCCAGCAGTGCCCGATGGAGCTCGCTGCACAGCCTGCTTGGGCCAGAGCACACATCTCTGGGTTCATCCGTGCTAAAGCAGCCACGGACAGTCATTAAGCAGAGAGCACATTTCAGCATGGACAGTTTTTCAGAGCACAACGTGGCACCTCACAAGCCTCGGCCCCGTTTTGCAGCCTTCAGAGTGCAGAATAAATTAAAGAAAACTGGGCCAGGACACCAGGGCTTCCATCTCCCCAAAGGAACAGCACTAACAAGCTCCCTGGCTCTGCAGCCCATGCAGCAGCAGGCACAGGCTCCTTACCTCTGCGACTTCACAGCAGAGAACTCCTCAGAGGTGATGTGCTTCAGAAAATTGAAGCAGAAAAAGAAAATCTGAGCAAGGGAGAGAGAAACGAACCTGAGGCTCCATGCAGCCTCTTATCTTCCTGGGGAGGTGCTGGCAGGAAGGAGATAGCAAGAAATCTGCAGCTACCAGCCTCCAATGCGCCATGGGCTGCCATCATCCCATCCTGGGCCGTTTCTTACATATTAAACTGACCCTCTGTTCCCTGCCATGGGGAGGCCCAGAAAGGAATGTGTACGACAAGTCTCCTTATCAATGCCTTGCACACATGCCGCAAGCACACGGCAGGTACTTATGCCATCAGTGCAGAACGGAAAAGAGATGGCCCCCAGCAGCTGCTTATACACCCAGGTAAGCAGCAAACCCAGCAGGACTAGTAGGGTCAGAGCCGCATGCTCCACCTCAGCACCACAGCTGTATCACACCTGGAAGCAGGCAGTACCTGCAGCATCTGTGGTCCCAAGCTCGCGCCCTGCCACGCACCACTCTACTCTGTGGCATTCACCCCATCTACCCGCACAGAGCTGAGCCCTTCTCCTCCTGCAGCGGGGTCAGGGAGTGCTAGAGGCAGCCGTGCGATCCCTCTCCTGTTGCAGCTACCAACTCTGTCCTTGGCCAAGCAGGCATGAGAGCAGAGCAGAGCTGCCAGGCTCCAGCCAGCAGAGCTCTGGGAAAGGAACGAACAGGAGGAATGATACTAATACCGGGGTCCAGGACCCCTGAAAGATGGAAAATAGGTCAGGGTCCCAGCTCTGCTGTTCAGAGGCAGGGGATTCCCTCGTGAGGTGAGAGTCTGTGAGAGTCTGAGGAGTGGGGGAATAGCAACAGGGTTAGTAGACATACTCCCCACCTCTCGATTTCTATCCAAAAATGATATTGCAGTGTACTGCAACTATAGTCAGAGCAATCATTTTTTTGCTGTTAAACAGTGAAAGATTTGAAGAGAATTAGTTCCACTAATCTTAACTGCCTTCCAGACCCATCTGTGCACTCACAGACACACCCTGCCAAACACACACACTGGAACCAGCACAAGCTGCTCCCTGAGACTGCAACGACATGCAAGCCACATGCAGCTGCGGCACCCAGGCAGTGGGGCTGGCACTCAGGACAAGTGCACACAACTATACAGCTTTATTTCCAGGGTCCCAGGAGTCACACATGCCTTAAGCATCTCTTCTCATTGCCGAGCTGAACAGCAAGTCCTAGTGCCCTTTCAGCAGGGACCTGTACACTAATGGCACAGCAGGGGAGCTGGCAGGACTGGCGCTCACTAACCAAACAGTAGCCTGAGATAAAAGCATTCCCACACTTTATGCATCGGGAAGTGACGTGGCAAGGCTCCTACCTTGTATTTCCAGCCCCTGAACAATCTTTTTACAGCCCAGCCAGACCACTGATACTACCAGAAGCAGTGAACGCTGCTACTGTGAACAAGTACCCTGAAAACATAAAGCAGTGCTCAGCCACTGCCCCAGACCAGAGACTCACCTCTTCTCCTTTACTGAGGCGATCAACTAACATGTGCCTGGAAAGAGAGCAATGAAAGCTCAGTCACACATGGGAAGCCAGAATCAGTAGAAGAGCACAAGCTGTCAAGAACAGCCAGCTGCCTGAGCCTCCAGGTAACAAAAGGCATCAGTCCCTCTTGTCACAGCTCACTGGGAACTGCCCCAACATCCCCCCTTGGTTGTGAGCAAACACCAAAGATGACCCCCTGAAGGCTTCTCCCTTGCTGTGCAGGGATGCACATGCGATTAAAACTTAAGTGTGCCTACCCAAACAGAAACCAGTCATAGGCCACTGTCAGGTAGAGAATCTCAGACGGCTCCAGGGATGTGTGGATCAGTCCATCCTGCAAAGCAAATGAGAACAGCTTTCAGGCAGCAGCCCTGGGGATTGGGACTTGGGAATTCACGATCTACTGAAAACAGTCATGGTGATCTAAGATGCCCAGCTTGCTCTACCTGCCTGTGACAGCATGCCTAATGTGAGCACAGCATGTTGGGCTCCACATCAAAGCCAATCCACACCCTCTCTGAAGCCAAAATAGTCAAAAGGACCATTAACCACTCCATCGCAATTTCCTGGTGACACAGTCGCTCACCCTCCAAGCAATCACCCCCAGAGGCAGAGCAGGTCAGCCAAATACTCACAGCCCATAAGGAGAGGCGCAATAAGGAGATGAAGAGAGGAGTTCGATCCCAGCCGGATATACAGTGCACCAGGAGCCCGCTGTCGTCTGTTCCAAGCAAGGGTAGGAAGAAGGAAGAAAAAGAATGTTGCAACAAGAGCAATGACTTTTCTTTATGGCAAATGTGTAGAGACAAGCTACTGTCCATCCCCGCAGCCCAGGCTCAAGAGCATAGCTCAGCAACCAAGCCAGAACATTTTGTCTTGAATACAGCAGCTCACAAATTGCTCAGAGTGTTCTGGGTTGTCAGGAGCCCCAGCCGATGTGTTGTCCTGGTCCTGACAGTGCTCAGGACATGAAGTCACTAGCTATGAACATCACTTTGCTAGCCAGAACATACCCCTACCCAGTTACAACCCACTATCACAATCTATCCCCACATCAGAAAGAAACCTGCTCCAACTGAACCCTTTTTCAGTCTCAAGTCCCTCTCTAAGGGGAGCTAGTGCCCTGAGATGCTAGGACCATCACCCTGTTTTGAAGGGAGAGAAGTGAAGCTCTCTTTATAGAGTGGCACTAATACCATCAGCTGCTCTTCTGGAGACAGCGACTGGTCCAGTTAGACTGCTGGGAGCAAGGAGTTTGCCTTACCATCAGTATTGATGATGGAGATCAGCAGCTTCAGGTAGTTCTGTGTCTGTTGCACAAGGTCCCAGCTCTGCAGAAAGAGAAACATTGATGGGAAGGGTCTGTCCACAGCAAAAGGCTGCTCTGCAGTTCAGAGCCCACCACACTCTTGGCTTCTCTATCCAGAACAAGAGCAAAGCAGAAATAGCCCTGTGGCCATTCCTCAGAGTGACAGACTCCCTCGGTGCTCTAATCAATCCTCCCATCCTCTGGGACAAAAGGCACGCTGGGACAAGGAACCAGACAGGAGGGGGGAAAAAAAAAAAAAAAAAAAAAAAAAAGGCCATCTCTCCTGCCTGCCTGGCTGGCACAGAACCTGCCTGCCTGCAGCCCCAAAGCTCCAAGCAGACCATGCTCAGAGAGACTAATGTGAGCCAGCAAACACCTGTGCAGTGCTGACCCAGTTCTGCAGCCCCCCGCATACGTGCACTTCACCAAATGGCTCAGCAGCCACGCTACAGCTGCGTACGTGATGAGAGTAGCATGACGGGGTGAGCAGGCCAAGGTCAGCAGCCCATTCCCACAACCCCAGCACTTTGCTCAAAACTCTCTGGCCCTTACAAATGGTCCCAGCAGGCTGTCTGCAGAGGGCTGACCTGCTCCCAGCAGCTCCAGACAGGCACTGGACTTCTGCAGTAATGCCCAAATAGCAGCAGCACCATGGAAGGGCTCTGAACTCAGAGACCTCCAGCACTACAAGAGATACAGGTGAAAAACATCAGAACAAGCTCAAGCATGTGACTCCTGACCACTGTGTCATGAGAAGATGCAGGGCATTTCAGCGGTCTGATCAGAACCAGAATGAGCTCAAGGAAAATAGGATAGTACTGGCAAGAAAAAAGCAAGGAGGGGGACATATATTTCATTGTGACAGCGTTAGCGGTGTAAGTGACATCTGACCGCCAGCAATAGAACGCTTGCTGTGTGCTTGCATGTGTGCATCTGTGCACATGTAACCACACTTAAGACTACTGTCAGACAAAGAACATATTGCTCTGCCGTGAAGCCTGCACAGCAACAAAAGAGTAGGGAAATGGGGAACACACTCAGCCTGGGGCAGAAAAAGCACATACTTCCAAAGTCTTTTATCTGCCCAATTCAACCCAATCTTGTGCTTATGCCAGAAGGAATCATCCAGTCTGATCTCTCTAGACCGCAAACCAGAAAGTTTTGTTCAATTACCCCAAATGCCAAGTGCAAGCTTCAGGCTGTAACATCTCTGCCCAGAAAAGCACCTCAATGAGGGGTGACAGTTCATCGCTCCTTTAGCAGCATGTTGCAATAGATCATTCTCAAAAATAACATGCAAGACTGCTTTTCCTTATTTGAAGGTCTGATTTCAGACTGCAGATACTGCTTCCTGTGCAGCTTTTCTTCCCCAGATTGAAGAGTGCTTTAGAATTAGTATTTTCTCCCTGCAAACATACTTATACATTCATCAAGTCAACCCTTCATCGCCTTTGTGATTAGCTAAACAGACTAAGAACTTCAGCTTTAAGTGAAGCACCTTCTCCAGTCCTCAGATCATTTCTGCATCTGTTTATTACACCCTCTTCAATTTTTAACATTCTTTTTTAAAATACTGGCTGCTCAGTACTCTAGTGAACAAGTTTCTAGCCATAAACAAGCTGTGGTCCCATTAGTTCTGCCTCACCAACAAACACTGGCCCAGCACGCAGAGCTCTGCTAGTTCTGTGGTGCTTCCAGCCACAGAGCAGAGGAGCATGACACACTCCAGCACAGTCAATCAGCACAAAACCTGGGGGGATTGGTAGGTCCACTGATGTGTGAAATGGAGCACACTAATCAGCAGCATACAGTTATGCTCCCTGGTATGAACAAAGGTAAACTTCGAAGCTTGGGCAAAGAGAAGAGTTCAATTATCATTTGCGATGCTGTCACAGTAATAAGGAACGGAGACACGCTACGGTCAATTATGATTTTCTACTCTCCTCTCGTAGGACAGGTACACACCCATGAAGAAGGTGCGCTTGGCTGCAGCTCACATAAGGGAAGGCTGATCTCTCTCAAGACTCTCCACAGCCAAGGAAGCCTGCCCACTGCAGGCACATGCCCAGCTAAGCTTGCGGACAAGTAATATTGCTTTCTGTTTGCTGGCATGTTCCTTTGTTCCTTACCTTTGCTACTGACGTATCTCCCTAATGGACTGCGAGCTTTATGCAAGCTACAGAAAAAGATTTGATGTCACAGTCAGCTGCCTTGGGATGCACCAAGGCAGGAAACTTTTGGGTAGAGAATTTCCACCGCTATTCTGAACACTCAAGTTTGCAGCCCCACTCCTGCTGGGATGGTATGAAGCACGCCAGATTACTGCAACAGGAGCCAGTCACACTTCAAATCTTTACTGATCCTTCCTGACTGAATCTCTGACCTCCCATAGAGACACCCGCTTCGCTCACCTGGTACTCGCTCCAATCAATACTCAGAGATTGGGTCAGAGAGACTGGGATACTCAATGGAGCATCTACGTAATCCTGAAAAAAACACCCAAAACAACAGAGAAAAGCCATGACTTGAAGGAGGCGAGTTCCAGAAAAAAACAAAACAACAAATGCCAAATCTAGAAGAAAGCACCTCAGCAAAGCATCTTCGAATGCAAAACCCTGCAGAGATAAGAATGAACTCATAGCCTCTTAGAAGGACTAGTGGACAAGAGGAGCTTTTTTGTGCTCCCAAGGGTGAAAGCCAGGGACAAGGCATGTTTAGTTTCTAAATCTTGTAGGGCTGCTCCACTCAACTGTCTCGTCCCTCAGAAGGAGACATAATACGAAGACAGAACTGAGAACAGAGGCTATCAATAAGATATCAAATGCAAAAACAGGAGCAACCCGTATCTCCCAAGAGAGGTCAAGTATCCTGGACTTCAGGATAATGATTCATTTATTTTACATACAAATTTTACAATGAATAATTTAGTACATTCACTATCTGCTTTGTTTGTCCTGCTGGTTTCCTCCCTGTGATCAGAAATAAGCACATGACATACACACCATCTCTCAGGAACTCTGAGGCAAGACTTAAGCCCAGTAAAGCCCACAGCTCTCCATTTCGTAACATACCTGCTTCCAGTTAAATATGAGACCTTCAGCTGTATAATCCCGGTCTTTGTACTCCTTAAAAAATTCACAGCCTGCAAGAAAAAGAAATAATGAACAACCGTTCAGCTAACTGATGTCTAACAACTGAAGTACCCCGTGGGACTGGAAGTGCTGGCAGCCCTGGGCTCCAGAGCACCAAACCAATCAAAACCACTGCCTGCGGGAAGAGAAGAGCAGTAACCATCAGTACGGTGTACAGCGCGGCCTCCCAGCAGCAACAACCCAGAGCACTCAGGAGTGAACACACTCACATAGCAAAGGGCAAACTCCAAACACACAGCAAATGTGAAGTTTGAGGGACTGATTTTATTCTTTTCTAAACAAGAGGTTTCACCAATGAGCTCTGCTTTCCAGGGCCACTGGCTTTTGCACAGATCTGAGGCGTCAGCCTGGCACACTGAGTGAGAAGGAACCGGCAAAGGAGGTGTTGGCAGAGCCCTGGGGAAAGCCAACTTTCACAGGGCATCTGCTGCAGGTAAGAAGAAAGGGCTCTGTCAGAGGCAGCTGTGACTTCTCTCACATTTAAGTCTCCTCTTTCAAACATGCGAATTGCCATATCTGAAGGAAGCAGGTACATAACCACTTCCAAGGTTTACCCCCAAGCTCTCCCCTCCTGAAGTCTGTCCTTTGGCTCTGTTCTTCTCAAACAACTATTTGAAGTCTCTGCAGCAAACTGCAGTCACTTAGTCACAGCTGAGCAGCACCATTAGCACTGCGGCTGCCTGCAGGCTACACAAAACACCTCTCCCAGTGTTCTGCGTATGCCCCATGGTGCCCACATTACCAAGACATCCCTGTGCCAGGCACAGAACACAGGCAATGATTCCTACCCTGCAAGTCACAAGTAACTCCAATGGTGAAAAAAATAATCTTTGTGCAAGGACAGGACTAGCCCTCAAAAACTCACAGTCAGGAAGCAATCTGTCAGTTGAGATTTAACTCCAATTAAACAATGGTTTAAAGCAAAGAATGGGAGATTATGGCAGTAAGCATTGGCATCTACAAATACCAACTACCAGTCAAATGGAAAGGAGGGTTTCTCTGCACTGGAGAGCACAAAAGCTTCTACAGATACCCCATTTTAACCCAAGTTTTTGCACCCTAGACAGTCATGTCTGGACACTGCCTCGCTCACCTCAACAACAGGATCTCAGAATAACTTTAAAGACAAACTACAAAACAGAAATTCTTTCAATGCAAACCTGGAAACATCAATAAGAATGTATCACGGCATTTGGCCAGTCACTAGAGGGGTTGCTGATCCTTAGATGGGTATGCCTTAGATTTAACAGAATGACAACATTCCCCTACGGACCAGCACTGCTGAAATCAGGCAACATCTGCAGGAAGAATTTCCAGTTCTATAAAGTTTACTTCTAGCATAGCAGTGAAGAGCTGCTAAAAGATGGCAGCTGTCCTAGAAGGCAAAAGAGGAAACACCATCGCTGAATATTGCATACAATATGCAGATCCCCATACAATAACAACTCTACAGCTTAACTCTATAGAGTCACTTCTTCCTCATTCTTTGCAAACTCTACAAAAGACCTGCGTACACCGTCTCTCCCATGGTCTAAGTTTGGCGAGGCATATGGTAGCAACATGTACCCATGCCACGTGGTACAGAAACCTGCAATACTCTTATTTCTGTATGCCTCTGCAATCTGCAGGGCAAACTCAATGGAAATCTTAATGCAGCTTCTCTGAATTGTCACTAATTTTTGCATGAAAGGAAAAATACCCTTTAAAAATAAATAAATAAAAGATGCTTAAGGGCAACAACTAGTAATACCAAGGAAAAGTTTGGGTTTGGATCATCCACAACAGTTTTACTGGTTTTTTCTTTTTTTTTTTTTTTTTTTCTCCTCCTCTCCCTTTCTTTGTGCGCAAGGTCTTGCAGACAGACCTCAAGCACAGCAGTCTCACATCCAATCCTATCACCGAGCCTGACATCAGCAAGCAGGCAGCAATATTCAGCTCTCCTTTAAGAGTGCAGCAAGTGACCCAGCAGTGGTTGCTAGGCACAGGGACTAATATAGCTGGGGAGACGGGCTGGAGTGGTCTGCATCTCAGTTGTACGTTGCAGGCTCAGGTTAATAGTTCTGCCTAGCACTGAGAATATCTTACAGTGCTGTTCTGGAACAGTAGGACTAGAAAATACTCTTAAGAATTGGGGTTTTACATAACACAAAGCAAAACATATATTTTGCATAAAGTAGTAGTTTGGAGTTGCGGGGGTGACAAAGGCCATCTTAACCCTAGCTCCACCTCTGGGACTTTTTCACTGTGCTTGAATTCATTAGAACTGCTGAGAAATTATTTTGCCACCTCAGAGAGTGCCTAATACTGACTCACACTGCCAGAGCATCCACATTCGTTGCGCCGTTCTCAGTTTAAAAGCTTTTCTCCAGAGGGAGCATAGGAATCATTCAGCAAGCCACAGTCATTTCACCACACACACAAACGGATTCCCCAGAAACGGATTGTCACCTGTCCCTTGGGAGTCCCTCTGGACATCAGTCCTGTACCTGGATATGGGATGGAGAGAAGCGTGAAATCAGCGTAACGTTGAGCTTTGTCCACCTTCTCAGAAGACGTCACACTGCACAGGACAAGAGGAAAACAGCAGACGTTTGTAAAGGATTTTTCATGGAGACACCAGCACCCAAAAAGTACCTGTCGTATCTCCCTGCACAATGACTTGACTCAGGAATTAGCAGGGGCAGAGCTTACTCAAGACATCCAAATAAACAGGTATAGCCCCAAAATACTAAAGCTTTCCTCTGGAACGCAGAAATACCTCTATCTGCTCCTATACACAAGCAGAGGGCTCCTTTACTCTCCTCTTTCTGAAAGGGTGACTGTCACATCACTGCAAGCTCTACAGAGAAAACCTGCTCTGACTGCAGAAGACAGATGAAAGCAGGTATCTTGCCCGTTGATACAGGTTTCTCTGGCTGAAAACCTCGGCAGGACCAACTAACTGATCCTGCCATAGGACTCTTCCAGGGAGTGCTCCCAGGTTGGTGAGTGCATGCCCAATAAGAATTCCCATGTAAGGGCTACACTAGCTGCAATCCAAAGCCTGCAGAAAAACAAATGAACTCAGACTCACTTCAAGCCAAACTTCACCTTCTTGTTTTCCACCATCAGGTCACAGATATATCGGACAGACAGGTATCGAAGCAGCTTGATGTCGTGCCCTCTGACCTTGTCAAACAACTGGGAGTCTGCATTTCTGCACGACAGAACAAGCAAAGCAAGATGAGCGCGGAAGACTGACCACATTGAGTCTGATTCTCTGCACAATACTGTCACAGTTCTTCCCTGAACTGCTTCTAGCTATAAGCAGCACAGCACGAGCCTTGTCTCCACAGGTCAGAGTCAGACTCTGCAAGGAACTGATACTGCAAACTTCATGCTTAGGGTCCCTCCCCACATCTCACTGTGCTGCAACCAGCACATAAGGTACACAACAATTTCTCCAGCTTGGAGACGTACTTTTTTGATGAAGTAAACAGATCTGTGTAATTCAAACACCTTTTTAATTGGCTCTATATATTCTTGTCTCCAGCCCTTCCCTCTGGCAATAGATTAACAGGCTTCAGTTCAGCCAGCCATTAGCATTCAAGACTCTTTTTCAAAAGCAAGGGAAGTAAGACTCTGCGCTTGGTGATGGTCTCAAGCCTGTACCCAAAGCGCAGCCTAGGAAAGAGCAGAACTGAGTGGCTGAGCCAGTCAGCTTTGCTCCAAACTCCTTTTTCCCTATCCCAGTGATCCATACAAACCTAAGTGCAGAATCTTCCTCTGAAATGTCTTCTGCATCTGCCCAAGCATCATCAGAACCCCCTGCAAAGAAGGCATTAAGATCCAAAACTTGTGTAAACCAACTCAATCTCCAACCTGACAAGACATGCACGTGCCTGAAAGGCCATGGTTTGGTGTCCTCTCTCCACACATAAGTGTGCTCAATACCTTCCCCACATTTCCTCTTCCTGAAGAGCCCATTTTCCAATATAGCCCACCTTTCCCTTGTCATCGCAAAGGACCTAGGTAGATCAAACCCATGACTGGCAGCCAGAAGGATGCCCCAATAGTGCTACACAGTGCTTTGCTAAGCCAAGCTTCAGCTCTTACACTACAGACACCAAATTCTCCCCTGAAAAGCTTTCCCTAGAGTCCGGTATATCTCACCAGTAGCACGATTTGATTCCCAATGATTAGCCAAGCAATGGCAAGTTCTTACCATCTTTCTTCCATTATTTCCACCCCCAATGTTTGGGCATCAGTAGCCTGACTCCTTTGGGCTGCCTTACTTGCCTACATGCTTCCCAAACCTCATTTTTCAGCCTCAAATTCTTTTGCTGCTGCTTCTTATGAGGTATGGCACTCTGTCCTGTAGTATGGTGCTTGGAAACGGAGACGAGATTTCAGTCTTTGCTCTATTAAGGGGGGCCTGATACATGCAGATCCATGCCACAGCTCTGCACCTGCTCTCAGGAAGAGCCTGGTCTTGCGACTGCCTAGGACACTGTCCCAGCCTAGCCAGGCTGCCGGCCACAGAGGGCTCCTCACTCACCTGAGAAGATATAGTTGTAGCCAGTCCGCCCGTAGAGCTCTCCCCAGCCGGCCAGCGTTGCTGATCTACAAATATGCTGGAAGAAGATTTTGTTATTAACCATGCATGCTCCAGGAGTCTTTCCCTTTTCAGGTCTCTGGCCTATTTGCTGTCACGTTACACAGAGATGGTTGGTACCTACAGCTACCACCTCTCAGCAGTCCCCCCTGCAACCCTGGTCCAGATCAAGTTCTCCAAACACATCAAACCCCCAAGTGCCTTTATCTGTAGCTAGTTTTTAAATCACATTTTCATCTCCAGTTCTCCAATTCACTAACACAGTCAATTCTTGCCAAGTTAGCAATGTCCATGCTCTGTTAATACCCTGCTTGAGCCTTATTTCCACTTTTCTGTGGATAAGATTATGGATGGTCCCAGTACGACTCCAGGCAGTTCACTTCTGCAGAAAAAGGTCAGCAGGTTCAGCCCACGATGGCTTCAGTCAAGCTAGATTAAAATTGTCACAGGTATGATTTTGCTATTCATACAGTGTTTCTAAATTGAACTAAGAGAACTGAATTAAGCTACTTAAGTTCTAAATGAGACTATTCCTACAGGGCTTCAATACAGTTTAAGTAATCCACATAAAAATGAACCTAATTTCACTTTCTTATAGATACCCTTGCAGACAAGCCCACACATTCATATGACCATTTATGCAATCTTGCCTCCCCAGGGAGCAGATGACGGAAACTTCTCTTTAGAGAGAAAAGCTAATCAAAGGAGCTCACTGCTGGGAAGAGTAAGGGGCAGAAAGTGACAATAGTTGACTTCCCCTCTCAAAGACCAAATATCTTTGGTCCCTCAGAAGGAACATGCATGCGGAGACAACGTCAGCTCTTTGGTGCAAGGCTCATGACATGGTGGGGTAAAATAGCCTGAAGCCCCCACAGATGACTTACGCAGCCCAGATAGCAAATGCTACCTACTACTACAGGCTGCCTGCTTGTACCTGAGAACAGGTTTTATAGCATTTGGAAAGGTGACAACTGACTGAAGACGTGGCTGCACAGTTCAAACGGCAGGGAGAAAGGTCATTTTCTAAGTTAAGACAGGTAACCCATGAAGCTTTACCTTTCCCTTGTACAGAATGACTGGGCAAACAAATCGTCCTCTACACCTCGCCATCTTACTTCGGTTGATAAGGTCCTGCAGTTTGCCAACCTGCACAGTGCTCTCAAACCTAGTGGACAAAGAGTCGGTTCAGTACACAGAGCATCTTCTCACATGTTGTTCAGCGAAGCTGCTGCAGACACCCTGGGCTGTAATCCCCATCCCTTCCACCTAGAAGCCAGCTCTGAAGTTAACAATCAAGAGGACGCTTCTTTAAGAATTGCTTCTGCTGCTATACGACAGGTATAGACACTTTTCTGTCTCCTTTTCTTTATTTTGAAAGACCAGCTGCACAGTACATGACAGCAAACATCTTCAGAAGCTGGCAATATGAGTACCGTCAGAACGGTCTGCTACAGACTAACATGTGGATTACTAACGGAGGACTACCTGAGTAAGCCAGTGTCTACAAAAATGTATGTTCTGCTTTCCTCCCCACCGTCTTTCCATCTAAAAGAAGCTCAGCACTACCATCAGAGTGAATTCACTATCAGAGTGATAATTTTGCAAGCAACGAAAAATAAATAAAATAGAGAATTAAAGCTTGAACACTCAACGAACCTTAGTTCTTGTCACTTGAGCATTTACGTTGCTGGGTAATTAGACAACTGTCTGTAAATCGGCTAGTGGGTTGAACAGAGTAGTTAGATTAACATCAGCTGCACCTGCATAACTAAATTTTGTTTGGTTTTCTGGTTAAAGTTAAAACAGAAATGTGTTCCAAGTTGGAGACATTTTGGAAACAAGTTAAAATTGCTGCAATTTGTCCAAGTACCAGTCTACATTCGATAGGAATCCAAACTGAATTCTGAACTACACCGACCTTCAGGTGGAACCATCAATGCAGGGAGGACTAGAGTTTCCACAAGGAATTGAAGAAGCATCCAGACTGACATGACAGAAACCAGATGAAGTCTGGACATACACAACTGCATGGCCGTGCACTCAGAGATGATTAACAAGAATTTCCAGTTAGCCCCTCCCAGTAGCGGAGCTCAATAGAAGAGCCTAGATGAACTGGTTGATGTCTGGATGCTAGTACATTATCAGCAGGGTAAGTCTGAAAAAAAGGTCAAATAAGATCATGGGAAACTCTCCAGTGGGATGGAGAAGTACTGGCATTTGTAGAGCAAAAGAACTCATCTTAGATAAGGCATCTGATTTCCGTGACCTAGCCACGCCTGAAAAGGCACAGCAAGATGATTAGGATGGCCAGGGGACAGTCTATGCTGCAAAAGAAATTATCACGGATTGACCGGCAGAGCAGATGAAGTGAGGACACAACGATATGTGTATTAGGGTGAAAGAGAGAACTTACAACGGACAGGGAGAAGAACTCAAAGGCGAAGGACAATGCTGGCCTAAGAACAAATTAATACCTTTATGCTGGAAGTTAAAAGAAAGTTGCTAAGCTTCAGAATCAGCGAGAGTGTGGAGCAACCTACCTGCAGCTGCCCTTCTGGGAAGGATTAAAAAAATTAATCTACTATTAACACGGAAATTGATCTGTTTATGGAAAAGATTATACAAGGTGGTGCCAGTGGAAGCAGGGAAACAGCAAACAAGACCTTCAAATCCTACTTCTTTTTTTTAAAAAAAGGACTCAATTCTCAGAATTCATAATGGAGGCTTAAGATTTTTCATGTGTTTCCCT